TTCAGCAGGTCTCAGCCCACATTTTGGTCAATGTTGACAATGTTAGCATTGAGTTCTCTAGGAAGTTAATGTGTTTCCCCTACGTGCCTTTATTGGCTTAGTTTAGACTGTTACAGCTTACTCACAATAAAACCTCTTTCAGGAATCAATCAAAAACTGTCCAGAGTTTGGGTTTTCTTTCTTTCAGAGGATGCTGATTTAATTAAGTGATTTTGTAGAAATATATTCATATTGTCAAAATCATCTATCTCCAAAAATACTAACAAAATTGTTTGAAAAGTAACAAATTACTTTTTGTTTTGGATACGATTTTGAAAGGAAAATTAGAAGGCTATTGAATGTATGTAAACAAGTTTTTTTTTGGTATTTCCAAATTGAACATCTTTCCTTCTACATTTCAGTTTCTCAAACATTTCAAAAAAATTAATGTTTTTAGAAGCTGAAGTGTCAGGATTTCCTAAAAAACAGGTGGTCACCATTCCAACAAGCTCTGAATTTCCCTGAAATCAGCTCAGAAGCAGCAGCAGTTGCAGATGTGTCACTTTTATCACTCTCATTCTTTGCCATCAGTGTCAGCTCCTGACATCCTGACAATCCTACAAGCCTAATCTTCTCTCCTTTGTTATTCACATGGAAGAGAAGCACATACAAGGCATGAAACAGAATAGATCAGGATGAACGATTCATCTCCAGCCTTTTACAATTCCCTAAATGCTGTTTCTGAGGTATTTGAGAAGATTATCATTCTTCACCTCACCCCATGATGACTAAAATGGGCAAGTGATTAAAATGGATAGGTGATGGGCTGCAATTACATTTTGTCCTACCACTTTGCCTCAATTTTTGCAATGACAAGAAATTCCTGGTGCAAGAAGCATTTGAGACTGGAGCAAAAGGGAATATTTTTATCATCTATTCTGACTTCCTCTGGCAAAAAGAAATATACCAAATACCTTTGAGCTAAGAAAATTTATTTCTCAGGATGAGAAGTGTAGAAGCTAACATTTCAGGTGGCACATGCTGACTGAGGACGTATTGTATCTGGTGGCTGCACAAGAGAAAAAAAGCCTCAGGCTTGACCCCAGAAAGCTACTAATATGTACTTAATAGGAGGACGTGAATAAAATTATATTCCTCTATGTTGTAGTTTGGGGTAGAAGCATCTGAGTTTGCAGACAGAGAGAGTGGAAATCATTTCAAGCCACATAAATGGACTGAGATACTTTGAAATAAGCAGCGACCATTTCAAGCAGGGAAAACAGCCCCATGGGTAGACCCATGTGCCAGCCAAAATGAGCCACCAGACGAGGAAAGGCAGCCAGCAAAGGAGGAGAGGGAAATCTGCTCTTCCCAGGACAACCCAGTGGATGCCAAGGAGTGTACTGTCTTTAATTTCAAAGACTTGGTTCCATGTAATGTTTGATCAACTTATAATTAAAAATTAATCCAGGAATAACTTGGTTCAAAAATATGTAGAAGTTCTGCTCTTTCCTATTTATTTTCATGCAAGCTCTCTACATGGCAAAATCCAAACCTGACTATCAATGAGTCTTCTTGCAAGAGTGCTTTTAACTTCCTAAACTTCTAAGACTTTCCCTTCACGGCAAATTACAACTTTGACTTCCTACCGTCCACCTGAAATCATTCTCTGCCCTTTGAGACATCATTAGTACACCATGTGCATGGCACCACAAAGCCTCCAGGGCAAGAAATGAAATGCCAAGTACATTTGATTAGAAAGTCTCAGCACCTCCTGGGGAGAAAACACACTATGCTAATTTTGAATATGCAAAGGCCACATCACATCCTGTGGGTCCATGCTTGCAGATGACTTCTATTGCTAGGTCTTCCCCTGAAAGGGCAAAGAAGAGATGACTCGCCCTTTGCCTTCACAGAAGCTTTCAATGAAGCAGGGAAAAGGAAAGGTGGCTGCTCGTTGGACAAACCATTCAACTAGGACCTCCAGGCCTGTCCTGCCAGGAGTGGAGGGGAAAGCTCATGCCAGGCACTGCGTTGGGCAGGCTGCTGAAAGCCCACTTGAGGGGTCTCTGCTCTCTCCCACAGCAGGCAGCAAGCGGTGCGAGCTCAAACCCCATGTTGTCACTGGCTGCAAGGGGCCCGCTGGGTCCCAGGTGGACCACTCAAACATGAAATGAGGCCCTTAGCTCTCCTCAAGATTTGTTCACTGAAGCTGGAGTAGACTGGCACGTGTTTCTGAAGGACAACCAAGTTCTTCCTAGCAAGCTATAACTGGTTATTTTCTTCTTCAGGAAAAGTATGGATCTAGTGCTATCAACAGCTACGCAAGTAACATATCAACTCTGGTATATGTGTGTGATTCCCACATCTTAATGTTATTATAAAGTAATACTGAAGTTTTTTACTCCAAGCATTATACTTTCCTAGCCTGTGTACTTTGTGAAGAATGAGTACATCCCATCAAATGAAAATTAATGCACATTTTGACAGGATAAAAATATTATGACTCAACTTTTGCAAACGTTACCTGATGCATAACTTCTGTATGGCTTAACATGTTAGTAACAGTACTTTAAACCTTATGTTCTTTTAAAATTTAATGCTTCTGTCTGAAAGTAGCCCCTTTTAGGTTCAGTTGCAGTAATGTCTTTAAAGCAAACTTTAAACTTAATTTGCTGCACATACAATTATCCAAATAAGTTGCATAGTTTAAACAAGTTCAGTTGTGCTTTGTAGCAGAACTCACAGTAATTACTCATCTCTTAAAAATACAATTTGTGGATATGAAGTTGACGATACATTTAAGCATTTTTGTGACGTCTAGACATCAATGATACGAGTTTTTGTCACTCTTCCACTGACTTCTGCTGTCCATAGTACCTCACCCTTACACTGATATTAGATCAGAGCATGGACATTTAACGGACACATCTGAAATAATTACAAACACAATTTTTAAAACTCCATTGTTGGGAGGAGAGAAATAAGAGCTTGGGTTGGTATGAGGTATCCAGCCCTCAGGAATATAATATGGTTGTTTGCATTAAGCTTTGTTGGTTTTATCACATGTTACATCTAGATTAAAAATAGAAGGCACAGGTGTTTTACAAGGCGCCATAATTAAGTCAACCAACAAAACTAAATACTACATTACCAAGCCAGGGGTCTATATCTCAGCAGTGACTTCTTCCAATGCATTTTCATATGAGGAATTTATTGCTTCTGAAAAAGGGCCAGGGTATGTCTGTGCTACGCAGTTCATTCCTTGTGCCACACTGATGTCCCCACGGGAGCTGAAGGTAGGGCAGGATCTAGTCCGTGCATAGTTTTGCCGGGGTCCAGCTTGGCCAACCATCTCACTCACAGTGTTCACCGGCGAAGCCCTCCATCTCTGTCTCTGCAGTTGCTCTTCTTTACACTTAATGGAATACCAGGCCAGGAAAATAAAAAAGAATCCCACGAACTTGAGAGCAGCTGCCAGCCCAAAGTAGACAAAACGAAATGAGGTGACATCGTATTCCCAACAAGATCCTTGTACGCCGCAATCCTGTTGCCAAAGCATGCACGTGGTGTCAATAACAGCCCCAAAATAAATTGGAGTGGGAATGTAAGCTGAAAAAAAATAGCAACATAAATAATGTGTTAGCATATAGAAGAGGACTTCTAAAGAAACTATCTGCCTTAGCCGAACAGTGTAGGTTAGTAATTTTTGAGATTTCTATACCACTGTTCTCACATGAAGTGTAGGACATGGAAAACTGGTCAGCCGATCTTCCCACCGACACTACATATCCCACACATGAAATGTAACACAAATGGGAAAGAATTCAAGCAATTCAGCAGCATCTTACAGCCAATCTGTTGTTCACATAAATCTCTCCTTCAGCTACGTGTCCCCCAAAAGAAAATCCAATGTTGCTCTCAGGAAATAAAATAGAGGAAAGGAACAAAATACAACATTATCTTCCGAGGGTTCCTTGCTGAATATCCATTGACCATGAGCTAGGAAAGGGTGGGGTTTTGCTGCTTTAGATTAGGGGGAAAAGCCCCAAAGACCACAAAATACTGGTCTCATTGAAGATGGATGGCAGCAGTAAGACCACTAAAATTATAAATTCTTTTTTGAATCAATCTTCTGCAGAAACAGACTTTTCTAAGACTGTTATAAATGCAGTCAGCCCACTGAAGGCTCCTGCTTTCTCCAGAAAAACACCACCTTTAAGACAAACCCAAAACATCCTTCCCCAAAGGAAATTTCCAGATGCAGTTATACAGGCTTCTCCTCTTGTTCTCTTAGAATAGTCCTTGCTTGCTCTGGTTGTATGCTTTGTAGGAGATGAACCTGGAGTGCTCTTTACAAGCAGGAATTTAGAAGTTCAAGAGCTTGAAAGAAACTGCTTAAGTGGAATAAAGACTTTTAACATGTACCCTTTTTGCTTTGAAACATTTAAAATTAGACATTAAGTAATACTTGCTGCTTATTTCAAAAACACAAAAAGCTACTGTTCTTGCTAAAAGCAATTAAAATCAGTTTCTAAAAAATCCTTATAATAAAAAATTTTGTAACTATTAATTTTTAAACAAAATTTGAAACTGTAGAAACATCTCTTTCTGGGAAAAAACTGTTGCTCTAGAAAGTCAGTAGCAGATTAAAAAAGAAAATTAAATACATTATCAGCTACAACATTCTCAGAAGCTAGTAATTGTAAGTTTCTATTACAATTAGTCAGACAATTAGTTGCAGATTTATGGAATTTTAGTATTTTTCTGGTACATTTAAGCTGAATATGGGGAGCCTTTATTGAAATGCTGAGTAACTGTAAAACTTACCAAGGGTTCGTAATAAAACAAACTGCATTCCTAGTGCAAAGGGCCGCTCCCCATCTTCTACAGACCTAGCAGGCAAAAGAAGAAACAGTCACAGCAGATAATCATTGTGGGATGTCCTGGTTTTTTTCTGAGTTATAGAAAGATCTTTGTTTAAATTTCTTCCATTTAGCTTTTAATATTATTAATTCTTATTGCTGGGAAAAATTGTTGCCAACTGCTCTTGCCCCTGTTTAATCAAAATCTCAATCACATTTTTTAACCTTTCTTTATTTATGTAAGGTCTGAAGAATTTGATTCAAACCCGTTAAGGAAATTTAGAGAATTCATCCAAAGTATTTATGGCTTCTCATTATAATTTCCTATTATTTCCTATAATGATTTGCTTTTCTTTCTTAATCTTTTTTAGATAAATTAGATTTAATGGAGAATTAAGTTGCTGAAAGCTGGACTCATCTTCCAAATGTAACAGATCTCTGCACAGCATTAAGTACTTTGGAGCTACTTTAGGAAAAATATTGGTAGAAACATCCGAACAGCCTCTTTGAACACTGTTCTTTTTCAATACAAGTAATATAAGTTTTCTTCCATTGGTTTCCAAGGGAAAATGTCAACCTTTCAAAAGCCCAGATACAAAGTAATGTTATTGCACAATGCAATTACAACTTGAGTAAATCACAAATTTTCTTCTGATTAAAAAATGTTTCTAAATCTTAACCTAAAGGTCTGAAATTAAGTTAGACAGCTTCTAATTACACTGAAATATAAGAGAAAAACACACAAGGAGGTGCAGCTGTAAAATCAGAGTTTTGAAGTCAAGCACTCACTCGGAAATTGAGAAACTGGAGAACCAACTTGCACCACAGATCTTGGACAGAGGCACTGTGTACAATATGTGGTTTGAGACAATGGGTGTCACTGTTTGTGTGTGTGTGTCGTCCTTTTTTTCTCTGAACATTACAAAAACCTGATGGATATGTCCCTTATGCACCTCACTATTGTGAGACTCAATGCAATATTAATGTTCACTGACTGTAGTTTACTTTTGTGTATTCGCAGTGCAATAACAATGGGGTTTTAATTATTATTGTACAGGTGGAAAACCCAGAGACAGAAGGAATAATGTCAGAAGCCTCTGAATTATAACAGTGCTGTGCACACAGTAGTGCAGCTAAGGCTGCATGCGCAACTGGAAGTCTGATATGCTGTCGTGGTTCAAGCCCAGCTGGCAACCCAGAGCCACGCAGCCACTTTCTCACTCCCCCAACCCTCCTCCTTCCTCCCCCCAGTCCCGGAGGGATGGGGAGGAGAATCGGAGGAATGTAACTCCCACGGGTTGAGATAAGAGCTCTCCAGTAACTAAGGTATAATACAAACCACTACTGCTACCAATAATAATGACAAGAGGAATAACAAGGGAAAAGGACACAACCGCTCCCCACCCGCCGACCGATACCCAGCCCGACCCGAGCAGCGATCTGGGCCTTCCGGGTAACTCCCCCCAGTTTCTATACTGGGCATGACGTGCTGTGGTATGGAATAGCCCTTTGGCCAGTTTGGGTCAGGTGTCCTGCCTCCGCTTCCTCCTGGCTTCCCCTCCTCTCTGGCAGAGCATGAGACTGAGAAAGTCCTTGGTCAGAGGAAACATTACTGAGCAACAACTAAAAACATCGGGGTTATCAGCGTTGTTCCCAGGCTGAAAGTCAAAACCACAGCACTGCCCCAGCTACTGAGAAGGAGAAAAAATGACTGCTGTAGCTGAACCCAGGACATGTGCCCACTCCCGATAATTTTAAGTACTAACTTTTTTCATTTGCATTTGAGAATACAAAACATTGCTTTAAGAAAGTTGAAAATTTCTTCAGGAGTAATCCTTTTCTTACATGATGTTTTTACTCATCTCTATATAGTGCCTGGAATTTGCTGGGCACTGCCTGTTTTTTCTAGAGTGGATTATCATGTTACATATTCTAAATACAAGCAAGTTCCACCCTATGCTTGTCAGCCCTATACTATTCTCTTTTTAAGGATACATAAGCTTGAAGGAGTTTGGCTGCATTGTCCCAGCCTGTTCTGACACAGACACTGGCAATAGCAGGCACAGCAAAAACACTTTAAAACCCGTAACTGAGTTCTCACCTGAGTGTCACTATGATTGCTGATGGCTGGGCACATGCTGTTATGAGGGTAACAATGAAGAGAAATATCAGGAACGGGATAAGCGTGTTGCAGGTTCGATCACACTTCCCAGAAACAGCATAGCCATTCTCATTCAGGTAGGTTTTGACAATAACCAGCCGGAGCTGACTACGCTGGCCCACTGTTGGTGGAGTGATCACCTGGCGACTTTGGACACAGGCACATTCTGTGTAATTTCTTACCTGCGGAGAGCAAAAAGAACATCTCCACGTGAAAAACCCATGCCAGAAAGACATTGCGCAGAGACATGGTATGACAGTCCCATGGTACACCTCAATCTTCAGTCTCTAGCGTCATTACTCCAAGTACAGGTGAATATACCACTCCAAGTATTTCTAAAGCTGGACAGGACTCTCCATAATGAGATTACATTTCCATTACTTCATTTAGGCTGAATTAAAAAAAAAAAAATCTGGAATATTTTTGGAAAATTCTGCCAAAACAATTCAATCACTTCTTACAGGGAGGCTGGAGAAAACGAGTGTTTCCACTCTATTACAAAAACTGTGAGGAAACACTCTTTAAGCAGCACTAACAATGCCATTTTCTGGAACTTGACTTTCATATTCAGGAAGTGTCTTCTGCCATCTCAGTGGAAGTCCACTCAGATTCAGCTAAAGAGCAACAAGCTCCACTTCACACACAGAGCTCAGGACCTTCCAGCTGGATGTGGGTGTGGATGCGGATGGGATGTGCACAGGAACAAAACCAGAGAATAAGGGGAAAGCAGAGACAGGAGGACAGGAGGGATTCCCGAATGAACAGAGAGGCTGAAATTAAGAGACTGAATAAAGAAGTGGCATTTCATAGGCAAAAGGGATCATGATTTAAGCAAGGTGAGGAAGAGTGGGCTTAAACCACGACAAAGAGCTAGATCAGTGATAGCCTCCTGTCACACTTATTTTACTACTGTTTTCAACAAATCTAATGGCAAAGGGGTGTGCAGCAGATCAGAATACTCTAGCACTAGAGAAGAAACAGGTCATGTGATGTTACAGGAAGGAGATTTTCCTGTCAATGTTTTCAGCCATAAAACCCAAGACCACGTGTACACAGAGGCTGCATTATGACACCATCTTAAGGTTGCAAATTTAAGCACTTGGACGTAAGGAAATATCCAAATTATGGTTGCTTGTCAACTTTAAGGCATACCTTGTATTTGTTCATGCTCTGACATAGCCTCACATTTTTTTCCCATGGGATTTAGCGTAACAATTTATCAATTTTACCTCCCACTTTCAAAATGTGGCTCCAGGTATTTTTCTCCTCACACTAAACATATTCCTCTATAAAGACAGAATGACTCATTTTTCATACGTATTTTTCTATCACACTCACCATTATAGCTTAGCTTTTTCAAAAAGGAGTAACTTATCTTCAAAACAGTTATGAGATGAGGCACTGATGTTATCTCTATTTTGTAGCTAAGTAACTGAAACAGATCAAAAGTTTCATAAATGTGGGTGACTAATTTGAGACAACTGGGATCACTTTTTTGCAGAACATTTTCCATTGTATACAACTTACTATATTCTAAACATAACTTTTCATGCCTTCACATACAATTTAGGCAGCCAGTGCTTCTACAAATGGCACTTCTGGTTATTGCTCATGTCCCTCATTCTGGAATATGAAGAATACAAGATTAATGACCAACTGGGAAATGTTTTGTTTAAGTGACTTGCCCAACATCGCTTAGCAACAAAGGCAATGACAGAACCCAGTTTCCAAAGGCAGCACGCCACTCTCTAATGTCAAGTGAGTACCTGCTTCCTCCCTACAGTCTCTCACCGTAATCTTATTGCTTCCAAATGCAAATGCCAAATAGGCATCATACAGAAAATAGTCATCTTTACTACACAATCTGGGTTTATCACCAGAGAAACCAAGTCTGTGTACTAAATGGAAAAGACATGGCACAACAGAAACAATAAGGTAGAGGAATATATATAAAACCCAGGTAAGAACTGTACACTGGCATCTTTTTCTCCCACTTCTAATTTTTAAATGGTTAATTCTGAAAACACCGTATGTTATCAATTTAAATCCACATGTTATAGGTTAGCAGCATTTTGTGTGTTATACAGTGGCACAAGTTTAAATCTGTTGTTTTTAAAAGTACTCTACATAAAACATTATTTAATGAAGATATGTATTTCCCTACCAGTGTCAGTCTTATTCTATTCATGGTTAGCTACCAAGTTAAAATTCAGGCCATGATGCATTTTTTCTTAAGTTGTAAGGGGAGATAGTATGTTTCAAAATCTGTAGTGAAAAGCACTCCCAAAGTACCTCCCTAGTAAATGTATTACTAGTGCCAGTTCGATATCAGGTGAAATGTAGCAAAGATTAAACCTATGTCTCAATCCAGCAAAGTACAAATAAGATTTATATAGACACTGAAAGTTAACCACAGGCTCACATCACAGGCTTTTCCAATTGGGCCAAAGCAATTTTCTGCTAAAAAACAGCAAGATACTTTTAACAAACAAAAATATCAAGGAACATAATCTGTTCTGTGGCATCTATATATGAACCTGCAATTTCAGACCATTGAGAAAGCAGAGCACTGGACCTAACATCCTTCTACTTCACAGGCTGGCTCAAGACTTCAAATCAGGGTACTGATATATTATAAATAAGCTTTCTGGAAAGCACAATCAAGTCCCGAGAAAATCAGTATTTACATTATTTCCTGTCTTTCTTCATTATTCTTTTTTAAAGGGTGGTTCTGTAACAGAATTTGAAAGTTTGGGGGTTGTACAAATATAATGCCCTATTGATATTTAGGTCAGATTCTACATTTCAGCTGTTTTCTTGTGCCCAGTCCTGGAAACTGTCAAATTTCCATGGTGTGATTTTACCAGCAGGATGCCCTTCTCCAGTCCAGTGTAACTGGAAGACTGGGGTGTAATAGGCAATGTATTTCCAAGAAAGAAAGTGGAGTATTAAAATCCTTGATGTTCTGGTTACTTGAGTTCAATCACAATCACTTCATTTAGCCTGGAAGAGGTTTAAGGAAAGGTTATGAGAATGGCCAAACTATTTTACCAGAGCAGAATACACAGGCAGACTTTACCTGGTCATGCAAACAAAAGACCTATCAAAACACTGTTGCAGGTGCAACAGCAAGGCATGCAAAATGGCAAGGCTATCACAAACACCAATGACTTTACAGCCTGTAACTCAATTTAAATGGGAGCTTTAAACACTTCTAACTACATCAAGAGTTAGATTCTTCCTTCCATTCAGAGAGGGAGCCAAAAAAACCCAAAACAGCTCTTAAGAGTAACACTGATGATCGTGCAGAAAGGTAGTATGCCATGGCTGCCTATGCCTAGCAGAAAGCTGAATTAGATGACACTGACTCGAGGTCCCTGCTCCAAGCCCTGCAGGAACAAGCCTCTCCAAGTCCTGTTCCTGCAGGAACAGGAAAGGAGAGTTCCTGCAGGAACAGCAGATACACAGGCCACTTCCATCAGGGACTTCCAAGTCTGTACTAG